AACCTATGGTTAGGACTTCACTGCACTTGGATGCAGAAATTAATGTATCTAAAAGTAATGAGCTAATTGATAAATGTTTCAAAGGCTTTCAGGCTTTGTTTTGCATCTGCCTTAGAAGTCCTTACTTGAATATATATATCTAAAGAATGCTCAAACATACCACAAAGATACTTGCTCAACTATCTATATTCATAGCAATATAATTTGTAATACCCAGAACATGGAAACAACCTAGATGCCCCTCAATCAAAGAATGGATAAAGAAAATGTGATACTTTTACACAATGAACTATTACTCAGCTGGGAAAAAAAAAAAACAATGACATCAAGAAATTTGCAGGCAAGAGGATGGAACTAGAAAAAAAAAATCCTCCTTAGTGAGGAAACCCAGACCCAGAAAGACGAACACAGTATGTACTCTCTCATACGTGGATATTAGATAAAAAGCAAAGGATAACAATCCACAACCTCAGAGAAGCTAGGTAACAAGGAGGGCTCTAAGAGGGATGCATGAATCGCCCTAGGAAGGGGAAACAGATGAGATCTCCTGGATAAACTGGGGGGAAGGAGGTAGAGGGGAGGGAATGGGGATGAAAACAGGAGGTTGAGTTGTGGGAGGGACAATAAAAGATCTTTTGTTTGTTTGTTTTGTTTTTTGAGACAGAGTTTTCTAGCTGTTTTGGAATACGCTCTGTAGACTAGGCTGGCCTTGAGCTCACAGATCTCCACCTGCCTCTGCCTTCTAAGTGCTGGGATTAAAGAAGAGTGCCACCATTGTCTGACTGAAAGAGATATCTTGATAGAAGGAGCCATTGTGGGGTTAGGGTGAAACCTGGTGCTGGGGAAATTCCCTGGAATCCACAGGATGACAGCTAAGACTCCTACCAATGGTGGAGAGGGTGCCTGAACTGACCTTCTGTAGACTGGCGGCTGACCAAATTTGTCATCATAGAACCTTTGTCCATTAAGTGATAGAAGCACATGCAGAGATCCATGAACAAACACTGGACTGAGCTCTGGGGTCCAGTAGAGGAGAGGGAGGGAGAAGGAATCATAGGGGGCAGTAAAGATCATGACAGGGCAACCCAGAAACATCTTTAATTGGAGGTCTGATTGTTTTACATTATCGAAATTAACATTTATTAACCATCTGTAATGAGGGTCTACACATTTTATCTTTACAACTCTCTTTTCAAATGGGTTAATTCGGTCAAATATTGGTCTTAACCCATGAACATCCAGTATCAACTATGATGGTTGGCTAAAGTGTCAATGATGGACTGGTCTATATTGGGTTGGCCTGCATGCAGCACCCTTGCCTAGGCAGGGGTCCTGAGCTAAGTAGAAAAATCAAGGTGAGTACAAGTACACAGGCATTCATTTCTCTCTGCTTCTCCCTGAGGATGGCTCAGCTCCTTACCTGAAGTTCCTGCCTTGACTTCCTTACTCTGATGGACCAGTTTCAAAGTATTCGCTGAAATAAGCCTCTTTCCCCCATAAGTTGCTTTCTCCCACAGCAACATAAATGAAACTAGAACATTAACCAAGTTCATTTATAACTTGGAAGATATTTTAAAATGTATTAATTCCTTGGGAATTTCATACAATACATTTTGATCATATTCACCTCCACATTACCCTTCCGAGACTACCTCCCTACCCCCCCTACCCTGTCCCAACTTGATGTCTTTTGTCTGTAGTAACCCACCACATCCAGTTTGTGTTAACTCCTAGGAGTGGAGCATGGCTGATCTACCAGTGACATCATCCTTAAAAATAAAAAGAACCAGTGGCGCACGCCTTTAATCCCAGCACTCGGGAGGCAGAGGCAGGCGGATCTCTGTGAGTTCTAGGCCAGCCTGGTCTACAGAGCTAGTGCCAGGACAGGCTCCAAAGCTACAGAGAAACCCTGTCTCGAAAAACAAAACTAAACAAAAATAAATAAATAAATAAATAAATAAATAAATAAATAAATAAATAAATAAAAAAAATAAAAAGAACCCTTTTCCAGAAGCTATCCTCTATCCATAGCTCTTCAGCTAAGGGTGGGAGCTCACGCTACCTCCTCCCTTAGAACGTTGACTAACTTTATCTTATGCAAGCAACCACAGATGAGCACAGTGTTCCTATTATTTGAAGATAACACGGTTTTCCTTTCGTCCCCCTGATCTTTGGCTCTTTCAGTCTTCTTGCCCCCTCTTCTGTGATGGTACTTGAGCTTTGTGGGATTGTAGTGGCGGTAATATTGATGTCCTAGTCATAGCTGAGTGTTCAGTTGTGAGTTTCTGCCTTGATCATCATTCCCTATACAAAGAAACTTTCCCACTCAAGTTTGAGCGCTGTGCTAATCTATGGATATCCAGAGAAGAATTTAGACTGCAGTTTGATATTACATCCATTTAGCAGACCAATAGTAGATTCTACTCTTGGTACCCATCAGCCCCCCAACCATGGCTTCTGGGCCAGATTTATTGTGCAAGTCATGAGTTTCCTCGTGTGGAGCGGGCCTTAAGGCCAGTTGGAAAGCCGTTGCTTACCGCCACGACGTTCATGCTGTCACGCCCTCGGGCATACCTGGCCAACCTGGTCATCCTTGTTCATGTCTGAGTAAAACTTTGACATTCCCCCTCCACCCACAGTAGCCTACAAAGCTATGACAGCTCATAAGGAGGGAGGGAACTTCCTGGTATCAGCTAGACTTCTCCATGTCTTATGACCAAAGTATGTGGTGTCTCTAGCAAAAGGTCTTACCGTCAAGTTCTGGTGGGCAACCAAGAGCAATGGCGAAAGCCTGTCCTGTCTTATGAGTTTCCAGCATACCTCTACCCAACAACTCAAGGGGGCGTGTTCCACACCTGCCACTGGGCTTTTCATTTGGCAAGCCCAGGCTTCTGGGAGGAGTAGGAAGGCCTTTTCAAGGGGATTACATTCTTTTCCTGATTATCTATCATTACAGGGTACTTGAGTAGGTTCTAGTTTTCCTGGTAGAAGCTCCTTAACTGCCAGAAAGTTTGATGTGGCGACAATTCCCTCGGCCCTTGTAACACATACTCCAAAATACGGAACTTCTAAAAGACATCAAGTCCCAAGTCTTCATGAAGTTAATTTCTGAGGTTATTCAGTATTCCAGAGTAATATTTAAAGATGGTTCTTCTGGTTGAGAAAAATTTGCATTGGATCAAACTAAAACTGATAACCTCGAGGGCCAGTGAAGTGCAGCTGGTAAAGGTTTCTGCCTCGGAAGCCTGACGCCTTGAGTTCACTCTCCAGAAACCACATACAGGTAGGAAAAACCAAATGCACGAAGCTATCCTCTGACCCCCACAAGTGTTCCATGGTGCGTGCGCACACACACAAACACACACAATTTTAAAAAACTGTATTCTTTTAAATTACAAACTTTACTCTTGATAAACAAATTAAATTAGGTGGCACAAGTCAGCCTCAAATGCTGACAAAACTCAACGAACTGGAGGACTGTTAGTCACAAAAGCAGATGAGGTTTCCCACAGATACAGCTCGCTCAGTCACGTCTGAGAGACCGCAGCCTTTTCACAAGGCACTTGCGGGATAACACAGTCAGCAGGTATAATCTTTAAACTCTGACATTCTCATGGGCTTTCTCCAACTAGGCCCTCTGCTCCACATACCTTAAAAAATCATTTATTAGAGACTTAGCAGATTCTGCTTTAGTTGTACATGATAGTGTGTTTTGAAGCTTCGTTTTCATTTCCAGTTCCACGCAGAGAGCAGTCATGGTGGCTAATCTGTAGTTATTCCAAGCCTGGTCACAAAGCTTCAAAGAACTGGGCAGTATTAGCAACATCTGTCAGCCCCTTCAAAGCCAGGGCAGAGAACCCTTCACCTTCTCAGTTGCTTACTAACAGTGCTCTCTCTGTTCCAAGCTGAACAACTGTTCTCGCCAGAGGCCAATCCTCTTAAACATGTTTATTTTCTCTGGACACAGTTCTTCAGTTGCTGCATTCAAACACAATTCACTCAGGAAGAGTAAATGGCTTTCTTTAATTGGCTCAAAGTCATTTGGGGACTTAAAAGTAAGTTATAGCCTTATTTTTATTTTATTTGCTACTCTGGCTGAGGTTTTTGAATTTTTGTGAATTATCTAAAAGTACAGACAGGCACTTGGTGTGGTAATAGCAATGCATTTTCATTCTTTCTTCCTTCCTTTGTCTCCCTTTCTTTCAGTCAAGGGTATAGATGCCTTGTTATCTAAGTGATATCAAAATGATTTATACCCCACTGAACTGTCAAAGCATAACATCCCCAAGATCCATTTATCCTGATATATGAGTATGCACTACTTACAAAAAGAGGAAACTTGTGAAGCTGGGCTTGGTGACTCACCTGTAATCCTAGCACATGGGGGGAGGCTGAGGCAGGAGGGCTGTTGTGAGTTCGAGTCCACCCTGGGCTATACAGTGAATTCTGGGTCAGACTGAGCTATAATATGAGACTCTTGTCTCAAACAACAATGTGCAGCCTGGTTATGTACAGACCATTGGAAATGCTATCTGTTGAGACACAACCATGTCCCTAGGATCTGTAGCATGCCAAGCTGCAGTACGGCCACAAGTGTCACCTCGAGGTCTGTGCTGCGATTGTTCCACTCCGGTGTCTCCTGTGAGCAGCTGTAGACAGTATGAAAACTAACAGGGAGGGCAGGTGCCAATGAAACTTCATGCACCAAAACCCCAAACTCAAATTCATCTAAGTTCCATGTCACAAAATATTATTTTTCAATCACGAAAATGTAAGAAAATCCTCATGCCATAGGCCATTATGCCAGATGTGACTTGGCAGATGTAGTTTTCCTATTCCTCATCTAAATAATTTTGTGTTACTTTTATACTGCTAATTGGTAGTAGAGAAGTTGCATAAATCAATCACGTGTTTTCACTAATAACTACAATGTAGTTAAATGCTTCCCTAGTTAAGCAGAATATAGTCGCTCAATCTTTAAAAACTCTTTCCAAGGGACAGACGCTACTGAAAGTGCATTTATTTAATAAAAATAACTTGGATTAAAATTGTTACATGATTTAGACTAATGAGTTCATTTATTTTGCATATGCGTGCACGCGCGAGTGCCTCGATGCATGCGTGAGGTCAAAGGGAAACTTTCAGGAGTCTCTCCTTTCATATGTTGGTTCCAGGGATCAAACTCAGGTTCCCAGGCTTGGCAGCAACTTCCTTTACCTTCTGAGCCATCTTACTGGCCCATACCAATTCTATTTGAAAACTATACTGGATAATGGTGGTGCGTGCCTGAAATTCCAACAACAGAACAGTCTATTATACAAGTTCAGCTTATTTGGGTTAAATTTTACTTTGGTAATGTTCCCTTTGTAAGAGCAAAACATAAGGGTTCAATAACAAATACCCAATATTTAAAGTTTACAAAATCATACAAATTGTACTTCTTCACAAAAAATTTACTGGGGAGATGTAGAAAAGTTTTCAAGCTAAGAATCTGATGTAATTTGTGGTTCTGAGAAGGAATCCTCTGTCCTCTGCCGTTTAAGAGATGGCTCTTCGGAATTCTCTGTAACAGATTCAGAAAGTCCATTTTAGAGGATTTTTAGCAATTGAATAACAATTAAATTTAAAAAAAATTAAGATTTTTTTCTATTCAGTCAACTTAAAAAACATTGCTGTGGATTAATTATTTTAACAAAACAAGCCTATTAGACTAAACCACATACCATGCTAAAACTTGAGGAATTCTAAACGAAGTGGCAAGGTGTCACACACAAAATGACTGGAACTAGTTTAATTTCCCCACTTCCAAATTTTACACACGCACACATGCATGTACGCGCAGGTGTGAGCACACACCCACCCACACCCCACAACACACAAGCTCCAGTCTGAAGAACTTGCTCACCTAGACTCAGGGCCCGGTTCCCGTAGAGTGTAGCGGCAGGAAGCTGGAAGGTGATGCACAGCATTTCCTTGTTAGGGGCCACATTTCTCACAAGGTGAACTGAACTCCTCGCCTCCAAGGAAATGCCTAACACAGCTCCAGCTTGCTGACAAACATCCTTAGCAGGATTGGCATCTTTGGAGAAACAGTAACAGTGCACTGTGGGGAGGCGCTCACTGCTGCACGGCTGCCCATCTAGAAGGGACTTGAAAACACTGAGAAACTCTATGGCCTTTGCGGGCAAGTTCATGACGATGTGGACAGAGGGTTTGGCTTCGGCTGACGGTCCAAGCCGAAGCATCAATTCTTCTCTGACTGGTCCCTGGAGAAAGTCTTTTCCATCCATGTTAAAGACTTTCACTTTTTGGTCAACTTTGTTTAGTTTACAGTTGTGCAATAGCCATTTGTGAGACTCAGGATTGAGATCATTGGCAAATACGGTGCAGTTTTTCCTTGCTGCTGGAATGGCAAAGGGCCCAACCCCAGCAAAAACATCAAACAAGACATCTCCAGGATTGAGAAGTTCAGTGATCCGGCCGTGTTCTGTAGAAAGACGAGGGTTCCAATAGACTTTGGAGAAATCAAACTCGTACGTGTAGTTGTTTTCTCGAACCTGAAAAGGGTAGCATGTCTTAGTTAATCTCACGGGATTTAAAGTCTGTCCACTGAAACAGGATAGGTTATGTATGCACACATGAGAACACACATGTAAATGTTACTATCACAGGAACAAATAACTTCACTTAAAAACATTTTGATTAGAATCCTGGTGTTTATACCGTTCCCGGGGCCAGTTACTATCTTGCATTCACCTTTTCCATGAGAAAAGTCAGCTCTCCAAAGCCAAATAGTTGTTCCCATCCTAAAGGGCCATAAAGTTAACTCCAATTCCTATGAGGAATGCTGTAGAGAGGCCAACCAACTGGCTTATGTTAGCAGATGAAGGATGAAAACAGCATGAAGCATCTGAACCTCCCTCTCACAGAGCACTTCACGCAGCAAAGGGAGATATGTTAGAATTTGCGGTATCTATGTTTTTAGATGACAATTACTGAAATTTTACAAATTTCATGTCTATAAATTAGACATTTTAAGCCCCTTGTTTTATGAACAAAGAATCAAAGACCAGAAAGTTCCTAAGTTGGACAAATCTGCTATGTCTTTCTTCTGTTTCCTGGGCCCTAATCTCATATTGGTATATTACCTTCTCCCCTCGGGCCACACCAGGTGCTTCCGGCCAGAGCTGGAAACGTTTAAGTGTCTACCCCCCCACACCCCGACCTCCGACTGCCCAGGCATAACCCGGCAGATGGATGTCTCAAGCACGACTTTGTACACACAGTTCCGCAGTGTTTCTGTCACTGTCCATGGGCAATCCCTGCACTACAGAGAGCTAAGGGCTCTGCACTGATGGACTGCTCCACTACCATGTTAGCAGGATTTAACGGAGTCCTCTTCCAGGCTCGAGAGCACACAAGTTGTGCAGTCTTACACAGCACTTCAACCCTGGGTAGATGAACATGCGCTGTCTGGACTCCGAGCACCCGTTGTCTGTTCACTTTGGGTTGGTGATACGGCACGGTACCTTGGTCAGCATATTCTCCTCTCCAGACAACACCTCCATTTGGAAATTTCTGTATGTATTGTCAATATTGCTGGTTTTATTTACTGCAGAGGTGATTCCTGGGTTTTTGTCAATCATAACTTGACCTAAAAGGTGAAGATTCATTATATATACTGCTTATTGTGTGTGAAGTTAAAATTAAAAATACTTAACAGAAATTAATTATATTTTCTTTTGGCTTACAAATAAAAACTGTACTTGGTGTGTATAATTTTGCCTCCAATTCTAAAAAACAAAGAGATAAGCTAATGACTGACAGCCATAGTCCTAACCATGTGAAACACTAAATACTGCATTTTAAAACTGAGAATAATTCCTACAAGTTTTTTTGTTTTTTTTTGAGACAGGGTTTCACTGTAGTTTTAGAGCCTGTCCTGAAACTATCTCTTGTAGACCAGGCTGGCCTCGAACTCCCAGAGGCCTGCCTCTGCCTCCCGAGTGCTGGGATTAAAGGCGTGCGCCACCACTGCCTGGCCCCTACAAGTTTTGAAAATTACTATATTAAAAGAGTACTAATTACTATATTAAATGAGTACTAATCTACAGAATGCATGGACACTGAGTATTTATATAAAATATAATTTTGATTAGTCTTCTGTCTAAAGAGTAAAGGTCTCCATGGAGCTACAATAGTAGAGTGTACATTACTTCCCAGCTTCTCGGGAACACTTAAAATGTTTTAAAGTGCTTCACATAAAGAGGAGGCTTAATTACCCGAATGAGCATATGAATGGCATGGTATATTTGACTCTAAAACACAGGAAGTTTTGAAACCTAGTGCTGAACATAGTTCCAAAGGCCTAATGGCTTTTTGGACCAAAAGAATTATGTTCACAGAACAGAGCTTTTCTGTGATGGGACCCAAAGTCTATGCCAATCCTGTGACTATGGAGAAGATATATCCAAAATGCTCTTCAAAAACACGGGTGGTGCTTACAATCTGGCTTCAAATTAAAACAAAACTACCTTGCTTCCGTGAGTTAGCATTTTAAAATAGAAACTTGAGCACTCAGATCAGAACTGGTCCTTTTTCTTCTTCTTTTCCTAGAACATGAATCCGACTATAATACACCTACCAATCAAATGCTTGAACGGGAGCTGATGATCTCGGAGATTCAGGTGTGCAATGTGTCCAACCCTGCTGAACCCCGAGGTCACGTCTTGACCCTCGGGAAGCACAGCTCTCAAAATTTCCTCTGATTTAAAATTCTCGTAAGTTAGCTCCAAATTGTATTCGGACAGCTGTGGGTTGACAGCAAGTTCTTCTAAAACACCGAGTTCTGCTTTCTCAAAGGAATCAACGGTCAGCATTTTGAAGGGATCCAACATGATGAGTCTAGAATCTCCATCGTCAGGGTCTTCAACGACACGCTTTATGCCCGGGCGCTGCAGAGCCACCCTCTTGAGGGCTCGCATCAACCTGTTGACTACTTCTTTTCTCACTTTGAGCACTGGGATGGACACCATCTTTTTAAAAGCTGTTCTATCAAGTTCTGTCATTCCTCGCACCTCAGAGGGCGGGGAAAATAGTTCAGTATCTCTCACACTTGCTTCTATTTCTGGCATGGCTGAGAATCCTTGTCTTTGACCCAACCAAAATGTGCTAGGTGCTTTCCTAAGCCTCGGTACCAACGTCCTCCTTGTCAACGCAGACAGAGACACTGATTCACTGGGGTGACACCGTGCTCCTTGCAGAAGTCTTCTTGAGAATCCGAATGGCTTCCATAAGATTCTAGGAAGATTTAAAAAAACACCATCAAACTACCTGTGACAACATTCACAGAGGCTTTTGAGAATGAAAACATAAATTCTCTTTCAAATCACCTGCTAAGAGCTAAGAAAAAGCTAGAATGGCACTGGAAGACAGAGTCTCCTGCTGGACGGTACAATCTTTGTCACTGGGTAAATAAATTTCCATCTTCAGTCCACTTGCCCGTGTAACAGAAGGACTAGTCGTCCAGCAACCTCCTACACTCAATGACCTCATTCACAGTTTCTCTGGAACACATATAGAATTGTGTGAAAGCTGAGAAAAGGGCAACCTCTGAATGAAACGGCCACGACAGATGATGCCACCAATGGCAAACCTTCCTAGGATATTCTGATGGGCTGTTGTATCAGAAGCTATATTATGAAGTTTGTAAGCTAGGGAGCAAGTCAATCACCCAAAGTTATGTGGCTGTAAGCGGTTCAGCAAGGCTTAAGAGGCGGCTTGCCTAGCGTGCATGAAGCCTTGGGGTCTAACCCCCAGCCTCACTTACATCAGGCATGGTGGTGCCTGCCTGTAATCTCAGCAATAGAGAGGCAGGAAGACTAAAAGTTCAAGGCCAGCATTTGAGACCAAGCTCAAAAAACAAAAACCTTGCTCAAGAATGACCTTAAGGGCTGGGGATACAGCTCAGCTGGAAGAGTGTTTGCCTAGTGTGCACACACAAACGCAGCATGGGCTTTCAGCATTGCAGGCCTCTGATCTCAATACTCCACTCAGAAGGGAAGGCAGGAGGCTTGGCAACTGAAGGCCACCCTCCGGTCAGTCTGGATAAATGAGATGCCCTCCCCTTCCACATGACCTGAGTATATTGCCAGGACATCATTCACACTGTACTGCCACGTGTCTTGCCTATAAGGAAAGGCTTTGGTATTTTGAATGTCGAGGCTCGACCGGGTGTTTGAAGCACACTATTATTCACTTCATCTTTTAAAATACCAAACCAGTGGCAAAAGGGTCCCGTCAGAGATCCCTATAATATAAAGCAATGAAGTTTAGGTTTATACTAGTACTTAATGAACTACACTGACAGCGAGTAATTCTAGGTGTCCATTTATCATTAGAAAAATGTGAAGAAAGACTCATGAAAAGATTTTTGGTACTGGGATCCTAATATTGGGCATCACTCATGCCAGGCAATCGTTCAACCACTGAGCTATACCCCAATCCTCACCAAGGGTCTTGGCTTACTTAGCAGCCGGTTGACCCAGAAGATAAATGGCCTGGTGGCTTTTCCGCCTCCTTGGGCGGGAGATGGGTCTGCCGCTGGCTGACCGTCAGGTCTTTCGTATAACCCGGGACACAGACGACCCCTCATCAGCCTCACCTTCCCAAGGCCAGCGTCCTCGAGGCCGGCTAGGGACCAGAACCCTCACTCACCTCATGCTCTGGAGCAGATCAGAAATGGGTCTTCAAAGGGAGGGCGTGCTCTCGGCGACGTCATCACTGTTGGCCGCCGAGGGAGCGTAAAGTCAGGTCTCGTGGATGGACTCGCTCCACTCTTCCTGGCCGCGGTGAGCTACGGGAACCCGGAAGGGCCAGGCCCGTAACTCCGCCCCTGACGCGACTCAGCGGGACGAGTGGGGCCGGGCCAGAGGCTCGCTGATGGACTTGGTAGTCGGGAGCGGGGCAGCATGCAGGCGTCTCAGGGCAGCATCCAAGCCCAGCCGGGCTGGTACGTCTCTGCCCAGCAGCCCGAGGAGGCGGCGGCTGCGGAAGAGTGGAGCCCGTTGCTAAGCAACGTAAGTGGGCTCCGCTAGCTGCGCGGGGCTGGTGCGCCGCGGCATCCTTCAGAGCTTGCTAGAAGAGTTCTGGACTGGAGGTTGGGGGGAGGGGATGGACCCCAGGGTGAGACTCGAACCACTGACCCCAGCCGAGTTTGGAATGTGGTAGCAGCTTGGCGCCCTGAGTCGAGAGTGGGGCTTGGGACACCGGCGGGATGAGCTGGGGTTTGGTGACTCACAGTTGTTTTGTATCTTTGTCGCCTCTCAGTTTCCTCTAGTCTTGTGAGGTCTTTGCAGTAATCAAGAGATTTCTTTTCTGGACTTAATCATGCGGGCGAAGGGAAAGGTGAGCGGTAGGCACTTTAATACCGAAGTCCACGAGAGTAAAAACGAGGAGAGGGATCTGTTAATAAGCACATAGCTCGTCCTTAACCTCAAGCAGATGTAGTGCACTGTGTGTGCCCCCAGGGTCCCAGCCCCCTCTTCGGTGCTGAAGGTCCAGCCCAGGGCCTTGGGCATGCTAGACAACCTAACCCAGAACTGCTTTTCAGTCCTGGGGCTCCACGTTTCAGCTGAATCCTTGGAGTGTGACAGTTGATAGTTTGCTTCTGTTGTCCCTGTGATGATCCGTGCTGGGCAGACTTAATTCACTAGGTATATAAATAAAAGGTTAGTTTTGCAGCCGTAGGACTTGGGGAGGAACAGTTATGGACAGCAGTTCCAAGCTGACACTGGGATTCTTCAGGAGTCACGTGAGCTATGGCCTCTTCCTTTCCTCAGCCTCCACCCTCTGCTTCCCTTATCTTAATCTCTTGAATACAAGTCACAAGAAAGGCCGAGGCTCCTAGGAAAGCCAGCCTGGGGCCTGTACTGGAGGAGGTAATTTTTCTGGGAGACTAGGTTCCTCGAGTTGCATCAGTAGGTGAAAAGGAAAGGACCAAGTGCTGTATCCAAATCTGCTTTCTATTGGTGTGACAGTGACAAAGGCCATGACCAAAAGCAACTTGGGGAACAACGGGTTTATTCCATTTTACAACTACAGCCCATCATGAAGAGAAATCAGGGCAGGAAACGAGGAGGTAGAAACCACCCAAAGTGGGTCGTGCCATTCCAGATCAGGAAAATGACCCCCACAGGCTTGCCTACAGGCTAGTCTAATGAGGGACGTACTCAACTGAGGTTTCCTCTTCCCAGATGACTCTCGCTTGTGTTCTATGACAGAAGAGCTAAGCCTGTCCTCGTTAGCTAGTTAGTGCTACACACAGATCCTCAGGTTCGTATATCAGCTCCGTAATTTTGACAGTGATGTTTCGACAGACTTTTAAAGTAGTTAAATTATATGTTTACAGGAACCTCGCCGGCAGGCATCCCCGGGTGTTTCCTTTGGTTTCTCGGTCTTTAATGTGATGAACGCCATCATGGGAAGTGGCATCCTTGGCTTGGCTTATGTGATGGCTAATACCGGTATCCTTGGATTTAGGTGAGGCCTGTTCTCTTAGTTTATCATCACTTTATTTATTTTGATAAAGAATCTTGATTCCAGAAGATTACTGGTCTACCATTTCTAGGTGGGTTATTTCTGAGGCTTTAACATTGTTTTGTTACCCTTGTACCTAACTACGCTGTGGTTTGGAGGAATGCTACCTACCATAATGCACCGCTTGAGGGATGTGTGTTCTTGTGAGACCATCAAGACAGGAGTCAGTGACTCATAAGACAGCGCAGGCCTTGGTTGGAAAAGGACCCACTGAGGGGGGCTCTGGCGTAAGAATCAGAGTCTATTGGCTTATGGGCTAGAGTAGTTAGTTATAGACCACAAAATGGAAAGGAGGAAGGCCACTGAAAATCTCTCTTTTATGGCAGGTAGTTGCTAGGGGTCGCTAGGGAAGTAAGGTGGGCAGTGAGAAGGGCATGTGCTCGGTAAGCGGCTTTCCTAGTCACCCGTTCCTAGGGTCCATAAGGCACAGAGGGTGAGCATCTAGACAAACAGGTTACTTCAGTTCTCAGAACCTAGTGGCTTTAGTTTGGAAATTGTCGTTGTTTAACCAAAATAGAGGAGTTTTACCAAATGGAGTAACCATTGCTAGCAGTTCTGCAGTGTAGCAGTAGCCTGATTCGTTGTTGGCGAAGCCGCCCACACTGTCTGGTGCTGCCTGTTGCTCCTGGGATGTCTTCTACACGCTAGTGCAACAAAGCAGGTGTGACATAATGGTGTTTGTGCCTCTCACTGCACAAGAGATTTAGTGACAGAAGAGTGTCGCTCCTGAGCAGGACAGGACTGTGAGAGGGACTGGAGGACTTTGTTTGGTTTTTGTTGTTTTGTTTTTCTTGGTTTATTTATTTATTTTATTTTGAGACAGGGTTTCTCTGTGTAGCTTTTGCTGTCCTGGAAGTCAGACTGTGAATTAGCCTGACCTCAAACTCAAAAGGAGTACACTGCCACTGCCTGGTTGGCAGACTGGTTTTAAGGGACTGGTTTTGTTTTGTTTTCAACTTTTTGATTCTTGTTATAACAGCTTAAAATACAAACATGTTATTTACCATATAAAACCAACTTTCCTTCCTGTCCTTATTCTATTAGCTTTTAAAAAATTTAATCTATTCTTATTTTCATATTTTACTTTTTAAACTTTTTCTTTTAAGACTAAGACATGAACACACTCACTCCCTGCGAGCCAGGACCATCCCTGTCATTCCCCATTTTTTCCCCTGGGAGGTCTTCAGGGCAGTGCACACCTGAAGCTCTCCGGTGCCCAACAGGCCTTTTCTGAAGGACCTGAAGGACAGGTCCGAGACCGTTTTACAGTTAACATCGCCCTGTAACAAGAAGGAACATGCTACACACCTATAATTCTGGTAGTTGGGAGGTAGAGACAAGAAGATCAGGAATTCAGGGTCTTCCACAGCCACATAAGTTCAAGGCCAGCCTAAGCTACAGGAGACCCGGCCTCCAAAAACGAACAAACAAACCGACAGCAATGACAACAAAAGTGTACTCTAAAATCATGATTTTGAACAATACAATATAGTAGTATAATGGGTATTTATTATATCATTTGATTATTTACTCGGTGAATACTCTGTACTAGATGTAAAAGCGTGTACTGTACTTTTGCCATTGGCAGTGTAGTGGAGTTTTCCCCAGTTTCTCCATGAGTGTGAGTGATATGTTGCACTATGACCCAAGGACAGCCATGGTGTCACTGAGACCCCATTGCTAACCCGGCCATCATTATGCAGACCAGGGGGTCATGCTGACTTTCATTAACTAAAAAGTGGCTGAGATTTAAAAAAAAAAAAAAAAAACTTGATTTATATTCTTTTTTTTTTTTTTTTTTTTTTTTTGGTTTTTCGAGACAGGGTTTCTCTGTGGCTTTGGAGCCTGTCCTGGAATTAGCTCTGTAGTCCAGGCTGGTCTCGAACTCACAGAGATCCACCTGCCTCTGTCTCCCGAGTGCTGGGATTAAAGGCGTGCGCGCCACCATTGCCCGGCTCTCATTTTTAATTTTACAAAACCTCATATCCAAGTTAATTTATGTCAGGTTGTCCAGTGTGAAGCAAAACTTGTCAGTCATGCAAATGAATAGCAATTTTTAAAGTGCAAATAAACTATTCCTCTTCTTCTTCTCTCCTGCCGCTTCTTTGATGTTCTGGAGCCTGGCATATATTCTGTGCCTACCTTCAAGAGTGGGTTATGGGTCAGTGTCATTGCCTTTTCTATTGCTGTGAGCAGACACCATGACCAAGGCAGCTTATAAAAGAAAGCATTTAACTGGGGACTTGGCTTACAGAGTCGAAGGGTCAGTCCATTACCGTCATGCTGGGGAGTGTGGCTGGCGGCACAGGCAGCAGGCATGGCGCTGGAACGGTAACTGAGACCTTACATCCTATCCACAGAGGCACTGGGCAAACACACCTCCCAATCCTTCTAATTTGATCACCAACTGCCATAAGCTAAGGGGCCATTCTCTTGCAAACCACCACTGGAAGCCAGCTAGCCCCATAGTTTTCTGGCTGGTGTTCATATAGTGCTTTGTATATTCGTTGTTCTACGGTCACTTGCTGGTCTGGGTTCTGCAAGTTCATCTCTGCTTTAAACTTTTGGAACCGGATCTCGGACTGAGCATCTAGCACCAGGTTCCTTTTGCTGATTTTGTCAGTGGAAGCCAACTTAAAATGCAAGGTCTTATTTCATTTCCTCCCCTTTTTCCAGGTTTCTCGATAAGCAAATCAGCTTTGAAGTAGCCCACTTTGCTTTTGTTGTGGGATGTTTTCAAAAGCTTTGACAGTTTTAAAAACTACACAGGACATATTAGCAACTCATAATCAGAGAGCCTTTTTTTTTTAATGGCTCTTTGAAAACTTCATGTTTTTTATAATGAGTCTTAGATGCAGGTGTACAGCACTGATGGGGGCTCACTGCATCAAATCAAATGTCCTTTTGCTGTTGTCAGACCGTTATTTTGTGAAGTCTCCGATGTCAGTTTAATGACTGCTTGCTGCTTACTAATAAGTGTTACGTGAGTCACAAAGAGCATTTCTGGAAGTCTCGTGTGGTCACCGGGGACAGCAGTACAGCTAGAAGCCTGCCCTGCCAGGCTTTTCCTGAGAATAGGAATCATTTATGCTGTTTGTTTCGATGAGTTTTTAAATTATGTCATTAGAAATGTGTTAATTGTCTGGCTGTGATCTGGAAAGAGGCACATACATGTTCCACAGAGCCTAGGAATCTTGTCATTACAGTAAAGCTCTGGTTAATGGGCCCACATCACTCGAGGGGGGTTGGGATTTGGGGAGATAGAACAAAAATAAGACAGTGAGACTTAAAGGAAAAATGACTAAAAGGAATGTGTAGCTCACTGAGTGCTGAGCTGGCAGTCAGCAGACAGTGCAAAATGAGGAACTGGTTTGTGTTTTAAGTAAAGTTTATTTCTTTTGCTTTCTCTTTTAATTTTCAAAGCACTGTATTTTCATTTAAGTACATCTTGGTAAATACAGAGCAGTCATTTCCGTAATACCTGTAGTTGTACTACTCAGAGATACTCCCTGTGACCGTCTGATGAAGAAATCTGTAATGGGATGTCATGAAAAAGAACACGTTTGGGGGAAACGTAATTCTGTGTTCTTTTATATTTTAGTTTCTTGCTGCTGCTAGTTGCTTTCCTGGCTTCCTACTCAGTCCATCTCCTGCTCAGTATGTGCATTCAGACAGGTGAGTACCATGCCATTCTCTCACTACACCTGATCAGTCCCTTGAGTTTGTTTTTGCATAAGAAGTGAATGTCTCGGATCTAAAGTGCGAAGGTGATGGTCTAGCTCAGTGGTAGCGTCTATATTTAGCAAGCACCAACCAGACCCTAGCGTGGGACTCCAGCATCACGCACACCTCTAAGAAGCTAATTTCCAATGAGCACACATCATTAGTGCTGTGGCGAGCAGTCTTCTTTCCTTGAGCTGAGGATGAAAACGGGTGTGTTGGGCACCTCTCTCTCTTGTCTTTGGATTAGATTGGTGTTGCAGTCCAACACAAGCTTTATCTCTGCATGGTCAAGCTTGATTTGCTCTCATTGGTCTTGTGGCTCCAGACTTACAGAAGCAGAATATATGTACAAAATAAATTTTTTTAAAAGTGGTATTATTCTAGGCTCAGACAACTGAGAACCCTAAAGGTGATTTTTGAGAATTTTAAGACTCTTGGGAACAGAGTTCTAAACCTGCCATTCTATTTTATTTCCTTTGTTTACATATCAGAAATTCCTATCTTCTTGGTTTTTTTTTAATGAACAGATTTTGTAACAAATCAGCTAGATAAATTTTTAAAAAAGATTTATTTATTATGTATACAATGTTCTGACTGCAGGCCAAAAGAGGTTGTCAGATCTCATTACAGTTGGTTGTGAGCCACCATGTGGGTGCTGGGAACTGAACTCAGGACCTTTGGAGGAGTAGCCAGTGCTCTTACTTTCTGAGCCATCTCTCCAGCCCAATGAGATGATTCTTATGCAAAACCACCTTAGGATTCACATCTCAGAGGTGCAGCTTGTACCAGTAGTTGGGTGGCTTTGATCATCAGGCTTTTGGATGCATGACTCTACCCTCAGGCAGATAAAAATACCAGAAGACAGTGTAAGGCAGCTTGCTCTACCCGCTATGTCGATGGCATGATGCTATACCAGCATCCTGAATTCAGGAGTAAAGCCTTTAGATAGCATTTGTAAATCCTGCCAGGAATATCAACTATAGAATCTCACTTCTGTGCTTGAAAACAGGTCTTTAAATTAGGATAGTTCTTCTGACATTGTAATATATTCTTTTGATAGATGCTATTAAAAGATTCAGGCTTTAGTCAACTGTGTGTGGCAGTCAGTTTTATTTCAGTTATTTGGGAGTCGTATTTAAATTTACGGAATTTTAAAAATAATATTCATTTTATCCTTCGGACCATTAAACCTTAAATTTCTGACACTGTTGTTCTTTAACTCTGGGGCACATAAAGTGAAAACATCTGTTTCTCTTTCCCTTTCCTTTTCTTTTCCTGTAGCTTGCTTGGGCCCGTGAACTAACCTCTCATGGTTCTCCACTCATGCTGCCCCTGTCTCCGCTGAGCGATTCCTCAGTCCCTGTAAAGCTCTCAGTACAGGTAGGCTTCTTCTCAGCGCATGCGTGTGAGGCTGGAGAGGAGCTCCTTGGTCATCAAGGGGTTCTGTGTTCAAACTGGAGTCAGTGGTCAGACAAAAGAGCTCTCAGTCTTTATGAAGGATAATGTCTTCCCTTTTTTGTCTAGAGTTCAAAGGAGAAGAGGAAATGTCATGTTTCTAAGAGGAAAGGGTCTGTTCACATAAAACTCTCTTACTGGGGCAGGTTGCGGTCCACCAGAACTTCTCTTGGGACCAGAGGAAGGAGACATGTCACGGTGTCATATGCCCCCAGCCTTGTGTGTTGACTATAAAATGGTCTCGCTGACACTTTCTTCCTAGAATAAAACAGACTCGTGAATGCAAGATGTCAGATCCATGGTGAATACTGAGTTCTCACTGGGACAGTCTCAGAGGATCACAAGGTCTTACACATGACGTAATCTCAGGGCAGATGGCTGCTGGTCATTCTGTGAAAACATGGCTTATGCTCTGGGATTGGAACAGTTGCTTCCCTGCCCTGACCTCCACATCGCTCTCAGGAGGGGAGGAGGGCTCTGGAGCACCACACTGCTTCTGGCTCCTCATCTCCACTGCACACCGCATTACACTGTTGTGTGCTTCAAAGCCTTTGGTTCAATCTTTCGTTCCCCACACTCCATTCCACGTGTTCATTCTCTGACCTTGTCTTTACTGTTTCCCAGCTCCCAAAGCCCAGCTCCCTATGGTGGGAAGCATGGCAGGCGGGCAGGCAGGCAGGCAGGCGGGCAGGCAGGCGGGCGGGCGGGCAGGCGGGCGGGCAGGCGGGCAGGCAGGCAGGGCAGGGCAGGGCGGCAGGCTGGGTGCTGGAGTGGTAACTGAGAGCTTACATCCTGATCTGCGGACAGTAGGCAGAAAGAAAGCTAGACTGGACCTAGTGTGGGCTTTTGTCACCCCCAGTGACATATCTCCTCCAACAAGGCCACACCTCCTCATCTTTTTCAAACAGTTTCACCACCTGAAGGCCAAACCTTCAAATATATGAGTTTATGGAGGCACTATTCCCATTCAAACAACCACATAGCCCTGGCTGGCCTGTAACTTTTCTTTTAAGATTTATTTGTTTGTTTGTTTTATGTATATTGGTGCTTTGTTATGTCTGTCTGCACCCAAGAAGAGGGCAGTAGATTGTGAGCTGCCATGTAATTGCTGGGAATTGAACTCAGGGTGGCTGGAAGAGCAGCCGGTGTAACTGCTGGGTCATCTCCAGACAGTCCTGTAACTTCCTGTGTAGCCCTGACTGGCCTCTGCCACCAGGTGTTGGCAGTAAAGGCATGCACCACCATGCCCAGCTCCCTTCACTTTCTTACCAGCATCGAAAACTCAAGACTCTTTAAAAAGAGCACTTGTTCTATTAGTGTGTGCTCAACAGTATCATAAGAGAGCTAGCTACATGTGTAACCTCCTAACGACTGCAGGAGGTGGAGTTTGTCCTGTGTGTTAGAGATTGGCAGGATGAGACATGATTTACCCAGGGCTGTAATTGGTTGGTTAGAAGACCTCATCTTGCTCTTCACAGCCCCGAGTCACATACAATCTGCTACCATTTCCCACCATGCAAACCGTGAAGCTTATTTTTTTGGAAGAAGTTAAAGAGAATTCTGCTTTGACGCTGAGTCATCTTTCTGAAGGCAGGATGTGAGTGGAAGGCGAAGCTGAGGACCAGTCCCGCTCACAGTCTGGATGCTGGCACGGGCTTCTCCTCTCATCGGGGGTCAGAGGAGTGCTTCGTATAGAACTTCTTCTGCCCAAATGAAATACCTCCAGCTACAAATAACAGGGGCATCTTTTAAGAAAGACATGGTGCTTCCTGTGTGACTGTTGTGTGATTAAGCCTGTCACTCATTAAGCAGAGCATCCGTTTATTCTCTCAGTTCCCTACAGTTTGCCAGAGGGTAGCCGAAGAACCGGAGAGGTAGGAAGCAACTGGCGGCTGCTCCCTGTTCTCTGATCTTTAAGGTTCTTACCACAATAGTTGACTCCCGATTTTGTATTGATAAAGTTTAATTAGATTAATGCTTCACAATCCAGAGAAAGATTCATGTTAAAACAACCACTAAAAGGTTACAGAAACAACAACGAGATGCCTTCATAAATATGCCTAGGTGACAGGTCAGTGTAATAGCTGATGCTGGAAGAGTGGGAGCCAGGGTACCTTCCATCTTGTTTGTAGCCACCCTGGGATGCAGCTGACAGACCTTATCTTTGCTGTTAGTTATTCATACCAAACTATACTTGTACTACAGTGTCTGACAGGATTACCCCCTTCACATTTACCCAAAGACTTTTATGTCCACACAAAACTTGCACGTAGATGTTTATAGCAATTTTATTTATCATTGCGAGGGAGTGACTAAAGTACTCTTCAGTTGATGACTAAGAAAACAGTGACATTAAAACAACAGAAAATTATTTTGTACTAATAAGAAATGAGCCACCAGGCCCCAAAGTAGCATGGAGAAGTCAGAAAAGCATGCTATCAGTCTGGTGAAGAAACCATATACTCCAGAGTTCTGCGTGAAGTGTATACACAGAAAATGAAACCAGTGCCCTGTGGGGATAACCTATGCTACTTGTTCATTGCAGTGTTATTCACGGTGCTGAAATAGCAACACCCTAAGTGTCTTTAGGTAGATGGATAAGCAGTAGTCTATATGTGTATTGGAATATTATCCTACCTTTGAAAGCAGATTCAAAGGGGAAGTCTTGCCAGCACTGGGAGCATGGGGGTGCCTGGAAGATATTCTGATAATGATAAGTGAAATAAGCCAGGCAGAAAGAAAAACTGCGTGTTCCCACTTCATGTGGATACCAGAAAGGTTTAGTGAAAAAAAAATGATAACATAACAAAGCTGTTTGCCAGGGATACTGGGGGAGGGAGGAGAAGAAGGTGAGCTCTTGGTTGAGGGACATGGAGTTAAGCAAGATAAGGGAGTCTAGAGACCTGATGTACAGTGTTGGCTGTAATTAATAGCAAGTTTATTGGAAATTTGCCAAGAGAATAGATTTCAGTTCCTCTTAACTGAAAGAGAGAGGGAAGGAAGGAAAGGTTGAAGGCCTATGACTGTTTCCTTGAGTATCATAATTTCAGTATGTATATCAAAACATCATATTGAACACCTTAAGTGTTCATAATTAAGAGAAAGAAGAAATGAATGTGAAAAGATTGTGTATGACTTGGTTGCAGATGTATGACACTGGGAAGGGCAAAACTACGAAGAGAAAAGAAGTCAGTGGTCACCAGGGCTTGGGAGGGAAGGATGCATGCATTGGAAGAGCACGGAGAATCTTAAAGACAGGAAAGGGGCCGTGGGATAGCATAAGTGTGGGTATACAGTTATCAAGATCCACAGACTGTCCAGTGCCAAAAAGGGAACCTTCATGTCAGCTGTGGATTTGGGTGATCTTGACAGGGCAGGGTTCCTTGATAATAACAGGAATACTGCTCTATCTTAGGAAGGTGGCATGTGTGGGGCAGGAATATATCACAGCCTTATACTTTCTTAATTTTGCTGAGGTCCTGTAGTGATAGGAGCAG